TGGCGTTAGGGTCGGCCGCGTGTGCCGTACGGAAAGCCTCCTCAATGAAACCGGAGCCTAGAGTTCGCGAAAATATGCTGTCCCTGAGCTTATTGCCCGACCCGTCCTCATTGAGCACCTCATTGACGACATCCCACGCGTAGATCTTACCTATGGTTTTGCATTAAATGTTTGTATTTTATTAAACTTTATTTGTATTTATAAATAATAATACTTTTGTTACTTAAAAAGCAATTAAAACTACAAATTAAGTTAAAATTTAAATTAATTAAACTATTAAATACCTTTATAATGTGCGGCCACTGTATTAATATGGTTTGTGACCACTTCCTCGAGCTCAGCCGTTTTGCCATCAAGTGCACTCACGTATGAAGGTAACTCATTGTGCCATAGGAAGGTGTGTCCCCTAATCTTCATGTCATGTGTCTGTGCAAACTCCACCATTGTGTCGGCCGTTGTCCAGTTATACTGTCCTTCACTGGTCTCCAGTAATCCCCATTTCATCGCATTCTCAGGTGTCATGCAATTGAACTCCTGGCCTAATATATCCAGGTATTGTTCATCTCCCAGGGCATGGGAGCTCATGGCTGACCCAATGTATTTCTCTATAGCTTGATCTCGGAGGTGTCCCTCGATTGAGCTGCCGGTGCCCATCATATTCATGAAAAATTAGATTTAATCACATATTTATCAAATAGTTTGTAACATAGTAAAATTACAGAAATACCATACTTACATAATTAAAACCGTAAAAACTATGAACTTTGATAGCATTTTGAAAATGTGATTTAATTACTTTTATTTATTTATTAAATGTTATACTGTATTACAGTATTATCATAGACTGCACTGTAAGAGACTGTAGTTTATATACTTTGCATTTGGTGTCGATTTGACGTAAATTGCAAAAATATGTATTTATATAAATCGGCAAATTAATTGTTATAATGATCAATTAATACCATTTATTTACTATTATAGATTTTCTGTATATCTGAGTGGAGAATTCCAATAGTGTATGAGAAAAAAGCTTTAATCTTAATCTTCCATAAGAGTAATATTGAAAGATTAAGATTAAAGCTTTTTTTCTGATACACTATTGGCTTTCTCCACTCAGATATACAGAAAATCTGTAATAGTAAATAAATGGTATTAATTGATCATTATAACAATTAATTTGCCGATTTATATAAATATTAGGTCGTATAGAAAGTTTGTTTCTGGCTATAATTTAAATATCTCTGGAATGGCTTAATATTT